GGATACCGCACCTTCAAGAAATCCGGCGCCGCACAACGGCTATAGCCACAAAGACCAGGCAATTTCAAGGTCATAATTGGGGCCAGAATGCTCATATTTTGAAGATACTCTATACAACGGTTGCTGAGAGAGTTGCCCTTTACGCTGCTGCCATCTGGGCCCACCCTATGGGGGCAAGAAAAATCAGGCAACTTTCTGCCATACAACGACCTTTCGCGCTCAACATCTGTAGAGCATACCGGACTACAGCAACGAGTTCTGCATTGATCCTGGCAGGCCTTCTACCCCTACATATCAAGGCACAGGCAGAAGCCGCCTACACTAGGCTAATTCACTTACGACGGGACGCCACCTTGAATGGCAGGACTCTCTGTCCGATCACTTTTGAACACCCTGGAGATGTCCTTCAAACACACCCAGCCCTTAAAGGCAAGGGAGTTCGAGTGACTATTTCTACAGAGCCTCCAGCAAACATGGCTAATGACAACAAAGCCTATATTTTCACTGATGGCTCCAAGTTCGAAAATGGAGTCGGATGCGCTTTTGTGCAATTTGAGAATCACATTACGACTCATGAATGGAAGGGCCACCTAGCTGACTCCAACAGCGTCTTCCAGGCAGAAGCGCTCGCTCTCACAGCAGCAGTTCAGCATATAATAGAAGACACCGGTATTAATAATGCAACCATCTTCTCGGATAGCGCATCTACATTGTACGCCATCCAGAACCATATGCACACGTCACAAATTATTATGAATTTGCAACAGATGCTAAGGCTCAACAGCTCCCGCGAGATTCCATAAAATGGGTCAAAGCCCACGCAGGCATCCTTGGTAACGAGGCAGCAGACCAGCTTGCGAAGGAGGCAGCTAACAACATTGCAGCGCAAGAGCTGTACGTTCCATCGCCTCCCTCTTACCTCAAACGTCTACTCAAGGATGAAGCTGCCCGCATATGGCAATCAGAGTGGGACCAAAGTGACACAGGCAGGAGAACTTATATGTTCTTCCCAAAAGTGTCCACTGACCGCACTATAGGAATTGCGCCATTGTCACACTACATCTCCGGACATGGCCCTTTCCCTACTTACTTCTGTAGGCACGGAATCTCAACTACAAATGTATGTGTGTGTGGCAACGAAGGCACACCCGACCATTATATCTACCAATGCCCACTTACGTCGCAGCACCACCTGCCTACACCATCCAGCAATGAAGAGGCATTCTACCGCTTCACTATCAAAAATAAGACTACGACAAATAAAATCTGCCGCATTCTGAAGGCAATAACGGCATTAGGGCAAGACCTTTGTCAGCCTACTTAATATGAAGCCCCTCTCTGAGTCTGCAGCATGCATTTGTCAGCAACATGTGTTCTTGCATGTCTTGTCAATGTTCTGTTTTCAACAATTCTTCATGTACTTTTTTTTCAGCAATTCATCATGTACTTTAGTCAGCCAATTGCATCATGTGTATCTATGCTTTACTGTGTGTACAATCAGTGTCACGGATGTCATATCTTCAGCCATCTATCATCAACCATATGCTATTATACGTCTTTGTGTGTACCTTGTACCACGGGTGACATATCTTCAGCTATCAATCATCAGCCATGTGCTATTATGCATCGTTAATATCATTAAGTGTACCATACTAATGTTTATCTGCATCATTTAATTGTCTGCATTTTGTCTACACGCAAGTTTTGTTTGTGCACTATTGTCGTTTTAGCATCATGTGGTCAATAAGTACACCACAACATGTATATTTGCATGTCTTATCGTGTGCACTATTAACCGCTCAGTGTACTATTAGTATCTTCGCATCATGTATCACCATCATCACATTACATCACGTATATATGAATGGACAATTGTGTGTGTTACTATCAAGTCACGCGTGCCTTATCATCAACTGTATGCTACTATGAGTCTCATAATTTTTATGTGCACCATATTAATGTTTATTTTCTTCATGTGTCTGCATCATTTAATCGTCTGCATCGTTTATATGTGTACTATTTGTCATCGAGTATATGTTCTGCATATATGTGTGTACTGCATCGTACAGTGTGAACTATTAGCACCATTACGTCAAGTACTCTTGTCACTATGCTGTAACACGTATCTTTGTATGCTCACATGTGTGTACTATTACCTGTTATGTGAATTACTAACTTTATTGCATCATGTACTATTACCATTATATTGCATCCTGTATATCATTGTATCATGTACCTTAGTCCTTACTTTGCATCTTGTATATCTACGCGTTTTCTTGTGCGTACTATTATTATCATGGCTTCATGAACTACTGTCATCACATTGCTTCACGTATATATGCGTGCCTTATTGAGTGTCCTCTCAGTATCACACGCGCTGTTTAAATAATTACGTGCTATTATGCGTCTCATAACATCATCAAGTGTTTCGTTTTTATGTGTCCACATTATTTAATTGTCTGCATCGTGTTTATCTATGTGTGTTCGGTGTTTATTTAGTTACGTGTATTTTAGTGTATCTTAGTGTACCTTTTTGTGTTTTTAGTGCTTTATGTGTTTCTTTCATGTTTTTCTTTATATGTTTCCATTTATGTTTTATGTTTATGTCTTATTTTGTTCTACCTCTGTAACCATAACCTTCAGTTGTCTCACGTTCTTACAATGTACTACATGTAGTCTAGCCCTTGTATGGCCATGTTAACTTTTAAGATCCTAATAAACTCCCGGGGCGGCCTCATGGGGCTCCAGGGAGTTGTTGCCTCTACACAGTGGAGGACGCGGGGTATATGCCTGTTTACCTATATTAGACACCAGGTAAACAGGCACCCGTCCTCCGTCACCTGTCACCTGCGACAGTAAATGCCATCTTTCTTGGTCATCAGGGTGTTTTCTACCTACCAATATCCCCTCTTTTATCAAGCCACTCTCTTCCAGAAAGAATGTCAGAATCTCATCAATTCTAGGAAAAGAGTAACTTTCGTTTTTCCTGACGTCATTCAACTGACGATAGTCAAAACAAAATCTAGTCGAACCTTCTTTCTTTCTCACCAGGATGATAGGAGAGGGCGAAGGACTTGCTGAAGGCTCGATAACTGCTTTCTCGCATGTCCTCCAGAAGTTTTCCTACCTCTTCTTGTTTAGCGATCGGTATAAATCATGAATGTTGATTGGAGTTTGATCTCTCGTATCAGTTTTATGCTGTGCCCAATTAGTTCCACATACGTCAGAAGATACGCAGGAGAAAACATCTTGAAATTCTCGAATGACACGTTCTGAAAGACTCCTCTCTTCATTGCTTATTTAATTCATTGCTCTTCATTGCTCTCTTCATTCTTCAATAATTCCGATATTAAGATATCCGAAGACATAGAGATTACAGGACTACTTATTCTTATTCCTTTAACGCAGATCACTGGAGTACATGCTTCAATCACTTCGACTTTCCTAAAGACTTCCGCTTTATCACTTATGTCACCGGGATGACGGCAGTCGATAGGTCGAGGAGTGCCGAGGCTACCAGTGCTCCTTTCCGGCTGCTACAGTTTTTGGAATATTCTATTATGGCGCGCGTACCGGAAATTCACATTCTTGCTGGTACTGTTATAGCATCTTGAGCTAATATTTAGTGGACGGATTTAACTCCTTCATTTGTAATTCCAAACTGGGCTATGTTTTCAGAGGCAGAATGCAATTTTTTTTTTTTTTTTTAAGTCCATGGAAAAATTGTATTTCCTTAAAAAGTCTTATCCGAGTAAGCAAGGGTCTGTAATATTTGCCACATATGCCGTGTATTATGCCACATATTCGAGATAGGAGAAATAGAGGTAACAGTCAAGCAGTCGCATCCTAGTAAGCTGAGTTGAACAAACTGAACTGAATTGGTTTAATTTGAATACTGACAAATACTGGCTGTGCGTAAGAAGAAGGATGTGTTCGTTCGGAAGTTTTTAACAGAAACTGGCTCATATTCATCTTATTCATAGGAAAAGTCCCCAAACGCAGATCCAGCCGACCGTTCATTGGAATTTGAAGCCGGGTCTAACTATTTAGAGTTTAGCTGTCTCAGTGCTCAACCGCTGGTTGGCTATGAATTTAGACGAGTTCTTAAACCTGGTTGAATTTAAGAAAACCAAAGGCAATTGTGCAAGGAAATAAAGAACAAGAGAGTCTTCGATCTTTCAGGGCAAGATTCAGACTACACTGATCTAAAAATCTGTGAGATTCTATACGTCCACAGTGTATGTAAATATGTTTAACTCATAAATTTTAGAATGAAATTTAAATGAAGTAATTTTTTAATATTTAGCCTTTCTAACTTCGGTAGTGTTTATAACGTTCTCTGAAATTTATATTATGACATTTTGTGATTTTGGACCAGCGGGCAATTTTGTGATGCTGTACATTTCCCATGTAAGTAAACTATGACATGCCGCATAATGGTAGATTCATGTAATGAATGCTGCTGCGAAATAGATACTATCGTTATGTAAGGCACCATGAATCCCGCATTCATTCTCATAACTTGCTATCCGATTGAAAAGCTTCAAACTGTGGTGTTTTCAGCAAGAGATGGATATATTAACAGATATAGCTATATAAAGGGTGGTCCAAAATTCTTGAGCGCATTGCATATGAAAAAAATAACAAAATGAGGTGCGTACATTCTTATTATTTTCTTGGAAAGACAATTTAAAACAGTTTTACTCAAAAAAATTTTAAACGTTAAATAACGTTCAAATAAACTGTTTACGTTAACAAATAACTGTGTAAATAAGCTGTTTACGGCACTCAATACAAATGGGAAATGCGCTCAATAATTTTGGACTACTCTGTATGTGATAATTTCAAATATATGAATATGAAGTACTTTAAATTTTTTTAAAAAATTACAGTTTAGTTAGTGTCTTACAGAAATGCATAATTTAAATGGAAAGAGCAGAAAACGAGTTCTGCAGTTTTAAATTTCTCAGAACAGGTATTAATAATTTTAAACTACTTACTTCTTCGAAATTTCCACTGATTGCTACATCCACGAGACATTGGCAATGAGTTTTGTACATTACAAGGAAAACTTTCATCTACAAAATTCAGGTGCAAAAGTATGTTATTATTCATAATTTTAAAAATACTTTTCTGTTACTAAAACAATTCTTATTCTTAACAAACATTCAATTATTCAAGCAAAGTTACTCGCAGAGTTAAAATAAATCAAATTTGACTTACAGTTAATTAAAAAGCGTTTAATAAATAATCTGTTTATATTTTATATCTATATATGTAATAATAAAATTCCATAGTCAAGAATACACTTAAAATTCTAATTGTATGTTCTTTTCATTTTTTAATGGCGACGGTCTCTTATTTGAAAGTGCGTGGAATTAAATCCACAGCCCCTTAGTCAAGTTGTTTTTCCCGCCTTTTCTACACGTACAGTTATAGAATGCTCTGAAAATATTTAAAGCGAACTGGCTTGGCTGACGAGGCTGACGTCATTTCTTGGAAGCTCCGCCTTTCCAGAGACTATAAAAGGTCTCGCAAAAGAATATCGGGGCTTTTCTTTAATGCAACGATGCAGTAAACTTCATACAAAAAGTTATTAGTAATTCTTTTTATTTACTCCGGATATCTGATTTTGTAACTGCTATTTCTCCTGAATAATAATAAATGGATCCTGTTTTTTAAACTTATCGTCTGATAATTTAAGCTACGACTACATCTATATTTCTTCAACTATCTATTTATTCTGGACAAAAGCTGATACATCCCATATATATATATATATATATATATATATATATATTAATAAATAATCATATGTAAGTAAGGACTATTAAGAATCGTATACTTCTTTTATATACGTTTACATAATAATGTTTTGTTTTCACATTTTTACATGTTTTACTCTTTTCATGAATTCGCTACTTACGTTTGTTCTTAAAGTTTTTGATACATTTAGATAAAGTTTTTCATTCCAAATAATTTTAAACATTTAGATCGTGTAGGGGAATTCTCGATATACATATGGTTTTGTTAAATTTGGGGAATTAAATATTTACATTTAATTTCATGTCTATTTTCGATTTGCATCATGTTAAGGACAAAACACGATGTCTGAACAGTTGAAGAGGGTGCGAAATAAGCTAACTCCCTCTCAAGAGTCAGTATTTGTTCATTATTCTTTCAATTGTTCATTTTTAAGTAATTTTCTTTATATGACTTTAATCATCATTGACAATTTTTTTCACAATTTTATGCATATCCTCTACTATTGGCCATTGCTAGTAAAGCAATTTTTCCATGCCGATTTTTTTAACTTACAATTAACTTTTACGATTTAATACTTGCAAAAAATTTTCTATAATTGTTTTTAATTTAAAAAAATTAAATATTACTTACAGTTAGGAATTTAAAAATGTTTTAAACTTCAAATTGTAATTCTTTATTAGCTTTCTCAATTTAATTAGAAATACAAGAATTTTAACAGGAGTATTTTGTATGAGCAGAAAATAGTGTCGCCAGCCTGTCGCCGACCAAGTAGGACATTTACGAGTAGCGCATGTGCAATAGAAGCAGCGCTGAATGTCTGTGAGAAACTGTTTCTCTTTTATTTGTTTAATTACTTCTATACATCGTTTGAGATTTATTAGAGTATTTGAATAAAACATGAGACAACGATTAGATCACATAATTTTTGTGCACTTGCCGGGACTCGAACCACGGACCTCTCGAATACGAGCTGAGTGTGTTGACTACTATACCACGAAAGCATGCTAAGAAGGACAATCGCCAAATCCTGGTGGTGGAGAATTATCATCCGCCCCCTTTTATTAGTTTGGGAGCCACTGTAGAGACATTAGGTTATTTTGAAAACAGGAGAGATGAAAAATGAGGATTGCCCTCGCCGCGACTCAAACCATCAACCTTTCAGTTACGAGCTGACTATTACACCACGAAGGCATGCTAAGAATGCAGGAGAAATACTTTATACGCTCTTAAGTGAACCTAGCGCTATATTGTTGCTATGGTAAATAAAGAGTGAATTTTAAAGAGTGCGTTATTTCTATAATATGTGTGATATTATTCTATTGTGAATCATGTGCTATCGACGAAGTAGATTTAATTCAAGGAGTATTCCCCTTTAATTATAAATATATATATATTATATGCTTAAATTATCGAAAAAAAACAAATATTTATTTAAATTAAATAATATCTTTAAAACGGCGAAAGATTAAAAAAAAAAAAAAAAAAAAACCTTCACTTTTAATGAATCTAACGGTTAGATAGGTCCCCCACGAAGGCACCCTCCATTAGGCAGATAGCTCTTGGGGCTTTGCCGTAGTCACATAAACTAAATCAAACCAAGTAAATATATTGGATAACTTTCCAGACTGTTTTCTTCAGTAGCTGGTAAGTAGTAAATAATAACATTGAGAAGGAATGTGTTCAACAAGCCTTAATAATATCTGCTTAGAATGAATAAAGAAATACCAGTCCAGTATATTACCTCAGTTCATCTTCAAATCTGTATAACTTATCAAGTTTGGTGTAAAAATTACAATTAACAAACTGGAAGAAAAACACTCCGATATGTTTGAGATAGGCGAAAAAGCAGTCCTAAGCTGCTGTAGATAAGGCTCACCAACGGCCGAAGAGTAAATTCGCTAACGCTGGTATAGTTCGACCGTCTGAAGCGCAACCCTGGTTGGCATTCTGCCAAAACACATAGACTCGTCCAAAAGGGGCGGTATTATTTGCTGCGACGTGAAAAGGTCTTCTCTTCTCAGGAAAGAGATATGCTGGAGGAAAAGAAAGTCTCCATCCTTCGACCCTATTTTGAGAATAATTCGGTCCGAATGGGGCACGCATGTTTGCGCTCATGGTCGCGGATGAGGCGGTCGAACTATAGTTGGGTCCGGGTTTCGAATCCCGGCAAACAGGTTAGCTGCATGGGCATTTTTGTGAGTTTCCCATGTGTAACGTCGATATGAGCCAGTTTCCCTTATAAAGTCCTTCACCGGGCATTCATCCTTATGGCGGATGCCATTGTGTGCGCCGCCATAATCAATTAATAAAAATAAATCTGCTGTAGAATTTGAACTTAACTATGTTAATTTCGGAATCATTAGAGATTAGCGAGATAAAATTATTTTTAGCTTTTTGATGCCCTGCGAAATCGATAGAACGTGTTTCAACTACACCAGTCTAAGTTTGCTTCCCCCTCCTAATTTTAATCATCGTTTTGTTATTTTAAGTAACGGGATACTCTAAAAAGAGATTAACATAGCAAAAAATTTATTTACATCATGCTTACTCTTTAGTTAAACTGCTTGGAGTTAAAATCGATAAAAATGCAACTCTACCAAATATGAAATACCAAATCAGAAACTCTGGAAAATGCTTCAATTAATATTCGTTAAAAATTCATTACTTGTTGTATTTCTAATAGCAGAATTGCTTGTTATAAGTTTAAAAACTAATCAAAGCATTTTCAAGTGAATAATTAATACCACTGCTAAAATGAGCAGTGTAGACAGATAAAAATAAAACATCCCACCAGCGGCTGAGCGGTAAAGTCGTTAAACACTGGTAGTTCGGTCCGAGGTTCGAATTCCGCGAACAGGCTGGCTGCATAGCGTTTTCGTGGCTTTTTCCCATGTGTAACGTGTATATGAGCCAGTTTCTCTTAAGAAGTCCTCCACGAAGGCGTCTCTTCCCTTAGGCAGGTAGCCCTCGAGTGCTTTGCCATAATCAAATACACTACACCATCAAACAGATAAAAATAATCGTAAGTGAACTTAAGTTCAGTGGAAGCCCACATGAATCCGGCTACAGTATTTCTGAGTTTTTGAGGGTAATCGTAATCCCAGAGAGAGTCCGCCGATACGTTTTCTGTACAACTGAATCGCAATACAAGCAGCTTATTCAGATATTAAGGCAACATTTGTTTCAGCAGTTAGTAAAATTGACGCTAGACTGTCATGGGAAGATCAAAACAAGCGGGAAAACTTCAGTACTTATAGAACAAATCTCTCCTTTTGAAATACAATCTATTCAGAAAAAATGAATTTATATATGAATTCTACTCAATCGGTCAAGATATCCTTGAACGAATTAGAAATCAAAATAAGGGCTCACTGTACGGAATAAAATGTTTTTAAATATTTTGTGATTTTGCTGTTAAATTAAATTTAATGAGGCACACGTGCGAGCAGCGTGATATTTAATAAATAAAGTTAATAAAAAAATAATAAGAAGATTAATAAGAAGAATAATAAGAAATAATAAGAAGATTAATAAGAACTTAATAAGAAGATTGGAACATTCGTATGATAAACTGAGAAAAGACAAATAAATATACAAACGTGTATGCAACACTTAACACTGCAACGGAAATTCTAAACATATGTTGCTATACAGCTTTTAAACAATTTTGTGATTTTGTAGTTGAACGGTATGTGGCGTAAATGTGAAGAAAACGATGCTTAATACAAGGGGTCATCAAATGAAAAAGGTACGAAACGACAAGGTGGGTCCAAATGTAGACTTTATTCAATATATACACCATAGGCCTGAGCAAAATGATCCCACTGATGAACAAGCCGCAGGATTCCTTGTTCCCAGAATTCCTGTGGCCGTGACGAGACCCACTCCTTCAGCGTCCTTGAGTACGTCGTCTGAGTTGAAGCGTTTCCCTTTCAGGTGTTTCTTCAGTGGACCAAACACATGGAAATCGCAGGGCGACATGTCCGGACTGTAGAGCGGATGGTCCGACGTCTCCCATTTGAACTTGGCCAGTTCCATGTGTGTGACTCTGGAGACGTGTAGACGCGCGTTATCATGGAGCAGAACCACACCCTCCGTTAGCAGCTCCGGTCTTTTGTTCTTGATGGACCTGCTTAGGCGTCGAAGTGTCTCACAGTACACATCGGAGTTAATGGTTTTCTGTGCTCGAGGAATTCCACAAGTAGCGTACCTTGAACGTCGAAAAAGACTGTGAGCAACACATTGCCTGCTGACGGCACGGCTTTGAACATTCTAGGGGGAGGTGACGACGCATGCTTACACTGCATGCTGT